TTCACCGGCCCAGGGGCCCTGGGCCTTTGTGGAGACTGGACCAGGACCCACACGGGCAAGGCATGCTCAGCCAGGTAGATGGAATGGGGCTGCCGGTGGGTGGGGAGTGGCATTTGGGAGTGGAATGGGCAGGCCAGGGCCGGGATTATGGGGTGGTGACAGCACGGTGCCAGCACCTATCATAGGGAAGTGCAGGGAGTATCATGTTCTGCTCTCAGATGCCACTGCCCACCCACCTAGGGTTGCCAACCTGATTGGCTGGGGGTCTATCAGAAGCAGCATCAATCTCCCGGTGAATACTGAAAGCAATCCAGGAGATTTTAATACGATATTATATTATGTCATGTTACAGGGGCAAGGGGAATCTCTTGGAGCAGCTTCAGTCAGAGTTGGAAACCCTGCACCTACCTGCAGCCCTATTCTATCCACCCAGCCAAGTGTGCCCTGCCTATGGGGGTCCTGGGTTGGTTTCCATTGAGACCCTGCCTTTCTGCTTCATCCAGTGCCCCTGGCAGTGGGTAGGCAGATGGGTCTGGGGCCAGATGGGATCAGTTGCCCTCCCTGGTTAGGCTGGGTCAGCACCCCACCCTTTTTTTCCCCCTCTGCCCCCCAAGCCCACAACAGCTCACCAAAATTCCTTAAGTGGCCTTCCAGCCCAAATAACTGCCTACCCCTGCCAATGTGGCTAGAAGTTGAGAACTATGTTGTATTGTAGTTCTTACACTTCCCCTTCTTTTGGAACTGTCCTAACTCCATTCTTTAATATAGGCAACTCCTGCTTTATGCTCTTAATTGGTTCCAGGAAAACTGAGCATTAAGCAAAACCCATTTCCCCATAGGATTTAATGTAAACAGAAATAATTTGTTACTTCTGCTTCTTTCCATAACTTCTCACTATCGCCGCTGCCTCTCCCCACCCCTCCGCCTGCCTGCCGGCCACTCCGGCCCCACGACAGCCCACGCCCCCTGCTCCTGCCGGCTCTGGTACCACAGGGCCCTGCACTCATGCTTCTCCCTGCCGCCACTTCCCACAACCCCCCTGCCTGCCAGCTGCTCTGGCACCATATGCCAGCCCAGGCCCCCCTGCTCCTGCTGCCTCACACTGGGCCCCTGCTGGCCCTGGCCCTGTGGCACCAGTGCAGGCCCCAAGTTCATGCCCGCCCTCTGGCCCACTCGCTGCCATTCACTGCTTCTTGCTGCTGCTGCTGCTTTGCTGAGCACTGTAACGAAACTGGCTCAGCACTAAGTGAAAAAGCACTCATTTAAAATTCATACCTATAGCGAAATAGCGCTAAGTGAAACTGTGTGAAGCGGGGGCTGCCTGTATAGGGTGGTCCAACTTATAAGCAGCCTGAGGCTGCATCAGTGGAGGCCACAGGCCCCTGGGCTGCATTCCCACCCTACTTGCGCCACTGTGTATGCAGGGCCCTTCTTCCCACTACCGTACAGGCACCTTCTCCCCTGGATGTGGGACCTCTTGCCCCGATTTACTTAGCCACAGGCACCTCTGGCACTTGATTGTGTTGCACTGCCCACAAGTTGGAGGCAGGAAGTGGGAGCCCAGAATCCCAGCAGCTGTAGCAGCTAGGGAGCCCAGGGGCCTGTATGTGGCACCAGTTGCATAGCTCTGCGCTAAGGCAACATAAAGCATTGAAATGGTATACATTAATTTGTATTTTTTAAAGTAATTTTTTTCAAAAATAAGAACATAAGGGCTATACTGTGTCAGATCAATGGCCCATCTAGCAGCCCAGTAACCTGTCTCTGACAGTGAAAGAAGTGGATGTTAGACAGGGAAACCATTGAACCAGATATTTCTAGAATTTTCTGTCCCCTATTCAGTACCCTTCCTGACATCTGCCATTTATTGGGTTAGAGATAACAAAGGAAACATCTGCAAGGATTCTGTTCAATAGCTATTAATAGACCTATCATTCATAAATGTATCCAGTCCCTTTTTAAATCTGGCTATGCTATCTGCCTCCACTACTGCCCGTGGTAATGAATTCTACAAGTTAACTATATGTTATGTCAAAAAAAAAAGTTTCTCCTCTTATTAGTTTTGAACTGGTCTCCTCCTAATTTCAGCAGGTGCTCTGTAGTTCTAGTATTCTAGGACTTGGGTCAACATTTCCCTGTTCATTTGATCCACACCCTTCACAATTTCACCTATCATCTCCCCTGCCTTCCTCCCCCCTCCCAGCATTCTTCTTTCCAAACTGGAGTCCTAGTCTTTGTCTGTCCTAGTAAGGCAACTGCTCCAGGCCCCTGATCATTTTGGTTGCCTTTCTCTATACCTTTTCAAATTCTGCTACCTCCTTTTTGAGATACGAGGGCCAGAACTGAACACAGTATTCAAGATTGTGGGCACACCATAGATTTGTATAATGGCACGATGATGTTCTGTTTTGTTTGCAATTTTCTTCTTAACAATATCCAACGTTTTATTGGCTTTTTGATTGCTGCTGCACACTGAACTGATGTTTTTCAAGATCTACAATGACTCCAGGGTCTCTTTCCTGAGTCACAAGAGTTAGTTTGAACCCAGCATTGTGTACATATAGTTGAGGTTATTTTTCCCTGGGTGCATTACGATTACACTTGTTGTAATTACCATTACCTTGCGCTTGTTGACATAGAAGTTCATCTGCCTTTTTTTTGCCCACTCACTCAGATCGGTGAGATCTTGCTGCAGCTCCTTTCCATCATCTTGGGACTTGACTTCTGGAATAATTTGGTATAATCTGCAAATTCCCAAGTACCTTTCTCGAAAAGGATTTAAAAGATGAAGTGCCACTAATTTCCAATGGGAATTGCACTTCTACATATTTAACTGGTGAAAACAGGTCACTAAGAATTAAGCCTTTTTATTTTTTTCCAGGGGACAGCAGCTGCTAACCTGAGACATTCCAAGCTGATTATGTTCTGACTGATTTCAGCCAAATAGAGCTTTGGGTATCTGGCGTATCTGATAGTTGTGTAATTATTCATTTGGATTCTTTTACTTCCTTGGCATTCTTTGAGGAATTGAGATTTTATTTTTTTTCTGTTGCATTGATAGTTATCTGGGATGACTCTTGTATTGTAAGTAAATCTTGATTATTTTTCCATCATCCTTGACAGTCGGTTTCACCAATATATAACTGTGATGCTTCTGCAGGTTTTACAACTTAACTGACTGCCAGCTGTTGTCAGTTCTCCGACTGACTGGTTGCCTAGCTGCTAGTCTGGACAGTGGATTACCATGTCTGCCATAGCAACATTTGATTTTATCTTCCAATTGCATACGAGTTTTATTTGCTGTGGTTTGAGTAACTGAAGTCTTGTGAGAAGTAAACAGTGTCCCTTAGCAGTTGTCCTAGGTAGAGAATGTAGCCCCGGTATTTACACTTTGTTAAAATCCAACAATGCTAGATGTGGAACTTGGGTGTCTACAGAAGTGCTTCATGCAGGCTTTACAGCACTATAATTTAGAGCATTTTTATAGCTCTATAAAGTTACAGTGCTCTTAAACATGACAGAAGTGCAGTGTTTTAGTGGGGGAGGCCTCTGAGTCTCCCTGCACTTTCCAGGCTAGGTGTCGGGGTGCTCTGCAGCCTCCTGGGGCTTCTCTACTGGTCAGAAATTTGATCAGCATACGGAAATTATTTAAAGCACTGTAAGTTGCCAAAGTGCTGCAAAATACAGTGCTTCAAATCATTGGTCATGCGTAGGAGGTGCATGCAGGTGCACGTGCACCCCCTGAGATTGTACCCCTTGAGAGTGGCTGCTGCTGGTGGCGCCTGTGGGTGGTTGCCAATCGCCAGTCGGCGCTTGCCCCACACTCCCCTTCGCCGCTGACACTGCTTAGGCCGCCTGTGGGAGCTCTCTGCTCGCCACTGCTGCCACTGCCTGCGGGCAGTCGCCGTGCACCCCCAGCCTCAGGAAGCACATGACATTCATGCTTCAAATTTAATACCTTATTTAACAATGGTTAATTTAAAGAGATGTACCCATTTTTAAAGCGCTGTAAAGCCATGCACTCTTGTTAAATAACAGCAATAAAGTACTTTAAATGATGAAAAAAGCAACTTGAGTGCATACCCTTTATGTTTAGTTTTCATTAGCTGTACTGCTCCTTCAGGCCTTGTCCACACACAAGTTGTACAGTTTAAGTATATCACTATTAAGTAGATGAGATACTCCAAAATGCCAAATTTTAGAACTGGAGTCTATTTGCAGTAGTCAGAACCAAAGAAGCAGGCCTGCTGTATACTGTAATTTTAATATGGCTGATTGCTGTCTTTTCTGCATATTTGGCAATTTCCAAATCCCAATGAATTTACAGTGATAATCCACTGTAAAATTGATTTTAACAACTTGAAAGAAATCTTTTCTAGTCTTTTACAATTGTCTCGTGATTTAATCATCCTACTTGATTGTTCAGTTAAAGTTCTATGAATGTGATTAGAGTGTCCTATTAAATACCACAGAGATGAGCCTTTATACGTGCCTTAAATTTAGATCGAAGGATGGCATTCTATTAGTTGCTTTTGCTGTGCAAATTACTTACAGAAGACACAGGAAGAGGAACAAATGCCCATTTAGCCACATATCTAGGGGACAGTGCCCTACTCTGGATTAGGTAGGCATGTGAATAAAGGCTGTGCCCCCCTATGATGTGTTTCTCAGCCTCCCCACTGGGATGTCGTGTGCCCATGAGGAAATGAGCAGGAGGCCACTGTCAGGACCCTGCTCTACATAATTTTGCATACCAAATTGCAATTTGTTTGTTTTGGGTGTTGACATACACCATAAGCACTAACTGCAAGAAAATTCAATTGAGTTCCATCTGTTTAAAAAATGGTCCCTGAATATTTAGCTACATTCTTTTAATTTACCATTTGCAACATGCTGAGGTCAATCGTGTAACCTATTAATGAAACTGAACTACTGTCTTTTCTGTCCAGTTTGATAAAGAAGTCTGGGTAGAAGTTGAGCTAGACCTCAAAATATCTCACCTAGAGACCAGGACAGAGAAGCTTCACTGAATCTTCTGAAGATAGTGTTGCAATGGGCACTCTCAGATGTCACACCAGCTGGACATCAGCATTTGCTGGGAGTTTGAAACACCTTCTCAAAGTATGTGGGGGCACAGCCACTGAAAGGTAAAGGGAGTGAGGTGTAATTACAGATGCTTAGATAGAGCCCAGCGTATTGCAGTTCAGCACAGCAACATAACATTCAAGACATTCAACCAGCAACCAGAAGGAATCTGAATTATGGCTCTTACATGAGGTTTGCTGAGATCTCTAAATAACCAAGACAAGGCCTATGTTGCCCAGCTCAAGAATGAAGAGTGAAGAGCAAGAAGACAAGAACATGAAAACTTTTTCTCTGCATGTAATGACACCTGGAACTTATCTGTTACTGCTAGTGAAATTGTGTGGTGTGTGGAATCTCCAAATCATTGTTCCTTTGTGACTATATTCAGGCACACAGCCCAAGCAAGGCCCTTGCACCTACACCGTAAGGAAATCTTGTATCTAGAGTTGTCTTTAGGGGTGGGCAACATGGGTAACTACCCAAGGTGTTGTGGTCGGTGGGGCACCAGACATGCACATACACATATGTGAACAGCCCCAGGTTCAAAGCAGTGTTCTTCCCCAGCCCACCCTGCCCCAGCCAATCCCCACCCTAGCCAGGAGGAGCAGTGCCCCATCCAGCCCACCCCACTGCCTCTAGCCACAGCTTAGGAGGAGCCAGGCCTGGCATGTGCAAATTGGGGTGCCTGCTTGTCTGTCCACCTTGCTCTGCACAGCAGCATCAGTGCCTGCCAGCCTGCCCACCTGCCTGTTGCAACATGCTGCTCCACCTCCCTGTTGGATTGTGCCCAATGTTCCTGCTTGTCTTCCTCTGACTGGTGGGAAGGACACCAAAATACGAGTTTGCCCAGAGTGCCATATTCCCTAAGGCCAACTCTGTATCAGTAACCTATGGCAGTGGTTCTCAACTTCTTTAGACTCAAGGTATTCCTCAGAAAATGCTATCTTATTGTTCTGTAGTCCAGGAAAAAAAATGCAATTTAGAGAGTCCAGCAACAAAAATGCTTTGGGGGCTAGGGCACATGACTTCTGAGGAGAGGCTGGGGAAACTGGGCTTATTTAATCTCTGGAACAGAAGACTGAGGGGGATTTAATAGCAGCCTTCAACTACTTGAAGGTGGGTTCCAAAGAGGATAGAGCTAAACTAGATGATCTCCAGAGGTCCCTTCCAACCCTAATTTTCTGTGATTCTGTTGCAAAGAACTCAGAAAGACCTCAAGAGGTCAGGGTGTTTTTGGCACTATGTATTCCTATTTGAAATATCTGGGTTTATCCTGTGAAACAAGTGTAGGTGTTTGCACATGCAATAGTATTAATACTGCATTACACCAAAGGATCTTGTGGGACCCAGGCTGAGAATCACTTACCTTGGTTACCATTCAGAAAAGTGGAGCCAGAAACAAACATACCAGGAAAAAAGAATGAAGTGCCCATCCAGGAAAGAGAGAAGGTGTAGCTGTGCAATGGGAAAACATAGCCAGGAAGCAATCCCAGACTCTTTTTTCCAGGGGGATGCTAATTAGGAACCTAAACCACCTGTCCTTGCCAACACAGACAGGGTTGAGAATTGGAGCACAGAGTTACTGAAGGAAAAGGAAAGGCAAATACTGGAGAGATGTACCAGCTATCCCAGAAGGACGCAGAAGAGAACTGGAAAATGCTCTGACGGTACTGGGAGCCTAGCCACAACAGGGGACATTTCAAGTACATGTTCAGGACTGCCACGCGATCCAGTCTTCAGCAGTCAGCCCCCTCGCGATGAATGGACTCTGTATGGAGAAGTGAGGCTTGCCGATAACCTGAATCCATCTCCAAATCACGTCCTCATTCTTAAATGCAAGGGTTTAGGTTGTAGCCGTGTTGGTCTAAGGACATAGGCAGACAAGGTTCCTTGGGTGAATTTGATATCTTTTATTAGACCAACCCAAATGGTTGGAGAATAGTTATTAAGCAAGCTTTCGGATTCAAAAACCCTTTGTCAGGCTAAGGAAGTTTCAGCAGTTGGTGTGTGCTCTAAAGCTTGCTTAATAACTATTCTCCAACCATTTGGGTTGGTCTAATAAAAGATATCAAATTCACCCAAGGAACCTTGTCTTCTTAAATGCAAGGCTTTTGCAAACAGCCTGACCCATGTACACATGCCATCAGCAGACTATCCTGGTTCTGGGGAGTTAGTCTCCACAGCCTAAAAGTTGGGAGACAGCCAAGTTGGCATGACTGGTGCAGTTGGAAGCTCTAGCAACAAGCAGCACAGTAACTTACTGTCCCTACTATGCGTAGGTGAGGATTGCAGGATTTCCAGCCTCCTGGACAGACAGACAGAGCGACTTGGTGCTGCATTGCCCCTTGGTTGTGGCTGGGGGAAGACTCGTTTGGGCTTTCTAAAGGCCCTGCCCTACCTCAAATCAAAGCTGGGAAGAAACCAGCTATGGCGTTACTGCACAGTTTTAGCACTAACTTTGTGGCGGGCTGGCTCTTTTCAGAGCTGGAAGGGGGATGTCCATGGCGCGGTAGTTACTCTGCCCCTGCGGCTCCCCTCGGTGTACTGCCCGGTACACCAGTTCATGGTGTGGTAAGTACTTCACCCCTGTGGCCCCTCGAGTCATTGAACCACAGTGACCAGGTCATCGCGCAACAGGTGTACGGGACCCCGAGCGCGGGTTGCAGCGCTGCCTGGCTCCTGCGGGCGGGGCCGGGCCGGGCCGGACCAAGGGCCTGCCTGGCCCCCGGGCGGCCCCGGGCCGCTCCGGTTCTCCTGCCCCCGCGGATCGAGGCGCTCGGCGCTCCCGCTGCCTCCATCCTCAGCTCCGGTGCGACCGCAGCTCCTTCGCTGCGCGGGCCTGGCGGGGCCCGACGGGGGGGCGC